ATCGCCACGGTCCTCGTTATCATCTCCATTACGGAAGTAGCTACCAGAAAACCCGAGCATGTAAGAGAAATTCGAAATATACCCGCGAAGACGTTCCTGACTTTCCAGCAGAGCCCTGAGAAGAAAACGAACTGTAATTCGAAATGTACAGCACAAAAGTTTAGCGGGCTGTCCAGCTTGTGGGAGGAGGCGCGGCATTTCGCAGCTTCGCTTAACTCTTTTGCTAGCTCGCATCGGTACCTGTGAACTCTCTTGAAACCGCGAAATGATACCTGAGCTACTTCGATCACAGGAATTTACAGGCCTCCAGGAGGTAGCCTGTACAGGCTTTGCTAAAAACCCATTCAGGGCCCCCAACAAGCCGAACAGCGCTATTTGGCGCCTCGCATTTTAAAGGAAACAAACTGTGAACATCGGATAACCCACCAAGAAGTAGGCTTTGAGAAAAATAGCACTTTCTTGAAAAAACTAGTGATGGCGTGGCGAATGGAGCAAATCCTCACCTTACATCACTTTCTACCATTCGCGTCCCTCGAGCTCCAACAAATATGTCGTCAATATCAATCTGTATATAACGGTCCAAACTCCAACCAATACGTCCGCCTGTTGTGTACCACAGAACGTCGAGGAAAGTCATCTGAACATGGCCAAAGGGGAGTTAGTAGCATTGACCATGCATCACACACGAGACTTTCAGGCGGCATCGCTGTGAATGGGCTTTGATCTACGCGATACCATCAGGGTACTAGCCGACTTTTGACTCAGTAGTCCATTTCTCCCAAGGCAGCACACTTTCAATTAACCATAGGTATGGGAAACAACTTTTTTCACGGGCAAGTTTGATGCGAGACTTCATCACAACATACGCGAGACGCGGTGCCCCTTGCCCTACACCAACCTCGACTTTCCTGAGAATATCTTCATTGAAGACAATTGCCGCGATCACGCATTATAGATAGTGGGGTTGGTTAGGAATCAGTAGCGCGGATAAGTAACTCCCCAAGAAAGAGAATACAAAAAAAAACTCTAAGAACACCTCAAATAGCTCCCCCCTGACAGTGACACACCATTATACAACGCGTCTCCGGACTGGCAAATCGACACTCGCGGCCTCTGTGCAACCCCTTCCTCGTGGATAATTTCTTAGACATCGCATTTTTCAGTACAGCTGTCCAATACTAGAGAAAAAACGTTGGAATAAAACTGGGAAGAGAATATCTCGCGAAAACTATGACTCTACAGGCAACACGCGCGGTAACTAGTGGTATAAAACGTTTCTTGTAGCTTGAAAATGTTGAAGTAGTAAAAGATCACGCGCACTTCACTGCTTTATCTCGCACGGAAGCGCTTTGCGAGCGCGCACCTCGTTACCAAATGTGCGCAGGCATTTCACAGCCCTCTTCATCGTAGGAATCGCCTTTAACAGAAAAAAAATGCTCAAAAAATGGAATATTCGGAACAACCACTCAGGATGGTATTGAGAACCCATACGTTGCCTATCGTAAGACACACTGAAAATGTGGCCAAGAAGACTTTCTGCAATCTAGTAAAGGGCTTCTGAAGAGTGTACAGCTCTAGAGACAAATTTGGTAATTTTCAAGGGCCCACAGCAAGGCAGTATCACGGTAAGAATGAGCTCATACTTTGCGGCAGCGTTCTGATGTTTCGAACCACTGGGAAACTGCGGTATCGATTGCGTTTTGAGCGCTAGCCAGAAGTGGCTAAAAAAAGTAGCTATCGATTATTGCTGAAAAGGCAGATGTACGCTCTGAATTCTGAATCGATACCTATACTTTCCTGGTAACTCAAAACATTCAGACGCTGACAGAACAAAGAGACGCAGTCAAAAAATGAAGGCACTCTAATTTCAGCCGAAATTCCACAACTGAAAATGATGGAACTACCTTTATCGTCCAGTCAGTTATATTGTGACCGAACAGAACGCGCTGGACGTTATCCATCTTTCCACGATCATGAACCACAGCGGCCCTCGGTCTGCCCAGAGCGTCCCTTGCTGCGAGCACCTGAAAACCCGCTGATAATCGGCAAGGACTAATGAGTTAATAAGTCATAAATCCCGCGAAAAAATGGAGAAAAATAAAAATAACAAAAAAAAACTCACAGTGGTGTATGCCGACGACTCCTCGAACAAAACCCATTCCTGTGTGTTAATATCTGTCCTCTCTGCACCGATTCTGGAGATTCGATGAATATCCGATTCAGCCACTTTTAATGACAAAACCTCTTGATTTTGCCAGAAATAAAGTTGAGAGCCTTTGATCTTCACCTTCTGGTAAGTGCTATTGGGTTTCGTGGGTATAAAGGAAATTAGTGGAACATTGTAGTCGGCGCAGTACTTGTCCAAGAGTTGCCGATTCCATTTTGCCATATTAAGGTACTTGTAGTAATTTTCAATGATGATAACAGAATAACGACCATGTGTGGCAGTGGTGAGTAGTGGGAGATTCTTTGCAAATGTCTCCGCTTTGAACGGATATTTTGAAGCGCTAAGAATCTGCTGCAGTAGACGTCCATGACGTGAATAAGCACTTTCCAGTAGCAGTAATGCACGGTTTTCAGTTAAATTTTGATTAGCATATGGTGAATTCGCAGTATTAGCATAGGCAGATGTGTTACAATGACATTCATAGTGAGATAAACGTTGAGGTGGATAGCGTTTGACGGCAATATCAGGTTGAAATGACACCCTGTAGACGAGCACGGTGGAAATGATGACGGTCAGCACCAGAACGAATTTGAAGGACTTCAGCAGCCGCCGGCTGCAATACGGCAACATGTTCTGGGCTTCGTCTCGGGCCGCCAGCCATATTACATATGACGACACCTTAAAGAGAAATAATGAACAAATAGAACAGAGTTACTAAATGGTAGCTGACGAAATAGTCAATAATTAGTTGCACAGTTTTGTTATTATAACTGCTGTCAACGGCGCAGTACGCGTTCCGAAGTTATCACAAGAATGCTGAGTTGTGGGCAAAAGTCGTGCCCCAGGCGGGAGTCGAACCCGCACCTCACGCTTTCCGGGCGAGTGCGCTATCCGTTACGCCACCAGGGCCGCTTTTACCCTCTCAGCTTAAACGCGCTTTTATGCGTAGCCTTACAGCACTCACATCGTTTAATTTGGTGAGCCAAGTCAACCGCAATTCGTTAGATATCGGCCACGAGACTGTGGCTGCCTATATCTAACGATTACGCTAAGAGGGTAAAAGCGGTTCTGGTGGCGTAACGGATAGCGCACTCGCCCGGAAAGCGTGAGGTGCGGGTTCGACTCCCGCCTGAGGCACGACTTTTGCTCACAACTCAGCATTCTTGTGATAGTTGCACAGTCTTTTTCGCTCCAGATGGGGGCGTGTCACGGCGCCTGTTGATCCAGCGCGGGGAGGTATCAATCCTGTTTAAAGCACGTGTTAAAGAATAAGCGACAAGGAAGCTGAGGTCGTTGGCGAGGGGGAGGGCCGGGCCGGCGTGGAGGCGGGGGTAGGCCGGTGGGGGACGCGGTCGGTGAGGGGCGGCTCGCGGGCGAGGGGTGGGACGAGTGGGCGGCGCGATGGCAGTACGGGTTATCGTCGCAAGTCGGTTTCCCACCAATTTCTTAGCTCCGCTCAAATAACTCGAAGGGAGCATGGTGTTAAGCGGCCGCCCTAATCCATTTCGCGTTGAGATATACCACTATCGATCCGCAGCGAGACAAGACCGTTGGCCATATATGAATTAGAGTACGAGCTCAAACAAGAGATGTAGTTCCCCATCAATATAGAAGTTCTTAAGAGGATGAAGCTAGAGCAGTTGGTGGCGTAAGATCAACACACGTCGTACGTTCGGAATCTTCAACGAAGGGATCGTATTTCGTCACTAGAGGGAGGATTCCATATGGGCTGTTGATTTTTCTCAGTCTTATAAAGGCAAAAGGAAAGGATTTCCAAAAAAAAAATCGAAAAAGTGGTAAGTTGAGAAAAATCAAAGAAGATTGGTGGGTGATTGCGAAGCGGAGGAAGGAACAAAGCAACGAATGTTCCAACAGGCGTTCTTTGTGACTTCTCCTGGACGTACCCGTGTCGTGAAAAGACCGGTTCCGCGGGATATCAATTCATTGAGTAGTAGGATTTAGATCAGATTAGAAGCGATAGTGGCTAGGTGTCCGTAATGACTCAGTAGTGGCGAATAAGCATCAGTAACATCCCAAAACCCTCAACTCCTTACTGGACGAATTTCCGGATTTGCTGGCTTCATGCCTTTCCAGCTTTAGACTTAGGTCGAGCGCCTCTCCTAAGAGTTCATAATGGAAGAAAAACAACTGCAGTGTTAACGAAAGGAAGGAGAGATTTGAAGGGGTAAGCACACTAATTTGGAAGACGCTAAAAAACCAGCAGGTCCAATGTCGACCAATATGAAGCAAGCAGTCATAAGCCACAGGCTTCATTACTCCATAAGTACAGTCTTGTTCGTTGCGGATGATAGGGCGTGTCAGCGCCGCTGCATTTGATGCACCGCTTGCCCGTTCCCCACCAGTTGCTGAAGCAGGTAAGCGACATTAGCTGGCTAAAGACGACTGATACAACACGGTACAGTATCGTCGGCTGCCGGAAGAAAAAAAAAGAGAAGAAAAACGGGATGGCACCACGCCCACCCATTCCCCTTTGACACCCCTTCCCATCCGCAGCGAAGACTGTAACCTGCCTACTGGATCCCCAAGAATGAATAAAATGCCAAGTGATAGTGCTTTATGCACTGAAAATGATGGGTGGTCCTCGAAAGGCATATATCCACTTCAAAAACTCCCTTTGCCCTTAAGCACGTGGTACTTGAATGAGCAGACAGCATTATGGCTTTGAAAACAGCGGTTAGGTGCTGCTATGGCTAATCAACGATTACACCATGATTATCAGCAAACAAGAAAAGCTATTCAATAGCACGTGTTCGAAGGCACGGCCTCCTTTTGTAAATGGTCAGCGTGCACGAAACGATGGTAAGAAACCCAGAAAAGAGAAAAAAAACAGCACGAAATGCTCTATACAAAGCCCCATGTCAATCCGAGTTTGTACGTGCATACGGCGAGCGTGGTCGACGAATTCTTGCTTGTTGGTGTCTCTCCGCTTTTTCTCTTATCACCTCACCGTCACCATTCGAAACGGAGAAAGTTTGTAGTGAAAAAAGACTATCAAGAAAGCCTGTAGAAAGGGAAGTTGGGCTCGGTAGTGACCCCCTTCGCGAGCAGAGCGCGCTTTTCCGCACGTATTCCTGAGCTGCAGAAGTAGTACATCTTCCATGTCTGTGGGCAGAACCACCATGTTCCGAGAAGGCGTCTGAGCATCAAGTGAACACGGAAAGTGCCTTTAAACATTCTCTATATTGAACAGCACACATAAAAGCGCACCAGAAGAATGATAAATGAATGTACAAGTTCCGCTAAGGACCACAGGACAATGCCCAAATCGGGTTTGCGTGCCAAGAACTGGATGAGAATCGGTGGACGTGAGAATTGGAAGAATTTGAAAATTACAGAATAGGACTCGAAGGATTATGCGGCTTTCACACCTTGCGTCCTAATGTTAGGAGAAAAGGACAATGCGAGCGAAAGATACTTTTAAGTGTGGATCAGAATGACTGCGAGAACAGAAGAGTAATAGAAGACGAGTCGCCGGAATCCAACCCTAATTTGGGCGAAACATGCACTCTCCTCGTGAGATTATCCCAACAATGTTGTCCCTGCTTCGATAAATGTGCATGAAGTCCTGTCGAGAAATTGACTACAGTAGTTTTTAAGACTCACTCAATAGGTCCATATATCAACTGTCTGAAACAAATGTTCAGCGCCTGAAGATAGCAAAAAGGCAATCCTCCACAGTACACATGAGCGCACATAAGGATAACTTCAAGAAAACAGAACCATTCCGCTAAACCGTTAAGAATATTGCAAAGGAATACAAAATAGAAAATCGAACCCATTTACGAAAAGTGGAAAACCAGATATTTCCGTTCAAAAATGCCATGTGACACTCTCGGATTGACTGCGACAAAAGCGCGAGCCCTCAACCAACGACTAACAAGTGCAGAAACACGAAAAACACTATTTCCCAAGTTTAAGGACAAGAAGGCACAAGAGCATTACAGGTCACAAGCATCATCACGGCGTGAACAACGCTTGAGAGTACTTGTCAAACGCGGGTGAATGGTTTCGTGCAATTGCACACGGTTGGGCAATACCGTATGCTCACGCCTAGTTTTATGTTCATCTCTAATGGTAAGTGCGCCATTTGTTTCAATGGAGAAAATTGAAGCTAAGAATTAAAGCTTAAAGCTGAGCCCCGCTTTCATTTGATGTTCGAGCGCCTTCGTTGAACAATTGTAGTCTTGTCTGCACGGAGGATGTACTATTTTCGCAGCTGGGAAATACGTGAGGAAAGCGCGACCTGCTCGCGACGAGGGCCCGGCTTCGCCCACTAGCCACCTCAAGCCCAGTTTTTATTCATAACAGTTCGTAGTGGTGCCTTTGTTTCAAAACTAACTCTCTGCATTTCGGATAGCGAGACTGAAGTGACAAGTTGACGAGATAACGAAATGACACCAACGTGGGAGAATTTGCCCGACCACGCCTTTCTTCGCCTTATGCGCGAACGAGAGCGGTTCAAAGTGAAGTGAAGGCACCAC